TGACCCTTCTGCTTCTACTTCCAGAGTGCTGGGATTACAGGTGTGCACCACCATACCCAGAGCCACCATCCCATTTATAAAATTTTAGCCTTTCTCTTCATCCATTCTTTTCCTAGCTACCATGTCTGGGTTAGGGATGCCACAAAAGACCCTTGACTACCCTCACTGGAGTTCCCTCCACATGGGATTTCTTTCTATCTCATTACTTAGGCATTCCATCCCACCAGTGATCATCATCTGCAAGTTCTTATATCTCACTTGTAAATGTGCATTGCCTGTCTCTCCTCAGGAGAAGGAAGGTGAGCTCCAGGCATAAGCCCTAAAACCCCTGAAAGAATACATTGTGGAAAATCCTGATGACATCAGGCTTGGCAATGATTCCTTGGATATGACAAGAAAGACACAGATGCTCAAGCCAGGCCCTCTAGATCTAGATATAGAGCTCTCAGCTCCTTCTCTGGCACCATGTCTGCCTGCATGCTGTCATGCTTCCGGCTGTGATGATAATGGACTAAACCTCTGAACTGTAAGCCAGCCCCAATTAAATGTTTTCCTTTATAAGAGGTGCCATAGTCATAGTGTCTCTCTACAGCAATAGAAACCCTAAGATAATGTACTTGTACACAGTGTTCAAAACAGCCAGGAGGTGGAAACAACCCAAGTGTCTTTTAACACATGTATGGAATGGATAAACAAAATGTGGTATATCCACACAAGGAAATATTATTACTCAGCCATAAACAGGAACAGAATTCTGACACATGCTACAACATTGGTCAACACATTATGGTAAAATAAACCAGTCACTGAAGGACTGACAGTGTATGATTCCATGTACATGAGGTGCCAAGCCTAGGTACTTTGAAAGACAGGAAAAAAATCTTAAGTTACTAAGGATTGTGAGAAAGGCAATGGGGCAGTTGTTCGGTGGATAGAGAGCTATTTGGGATGCAAAAAAGTCCAACAGCAGATAGTGGATATTGTATAGCACCATGGATTATTAAATACCATTGAACTATATACAGAAAAATCATTAAAATGATAAATTAAAAAATAAAAATGAGATAAGAAGGATGGTGACATCTTAGAGAAAGTGGGAGGAAATGCTGCTTAATATGGATGAGACAAAGGCAAAATTTTATTCTAGCACATCGTGTTAACAGTTATTTATCAATCAATCTACCATCCATCCATGTATCTATTGTCTATCCTATCTATCTACCTACCAACCTATCATCTACCTACCTATTTGCAATCAATTATCTATTTATAGTCAATGTACCTATCATCTACATATAATCTATCTGCTTGCCTATCTATCATCTATCTACCTATCATCTACCATCCATCCATCCATCCATCCATCCATCCATCCATCCATCCATCCATCCATCCATCCAGTTTGTGGCAGGATGAAGAGATGGCTTTCAGTATGTGTTACAGCCTGAGATGATGGTAACAGCTTCCACAACACTTTGTTATAACAAAGAAGAATCCTTTGATGAGCTTGGAGTCTTTCACCAGGATCTGTTCCTCTTTGGGGAGGCAGCTCTGGACTTGGAGCAGCTATTCAAACCTCTTTAGCTTTCTTTTTCCCATTTCCAACCCCAGTGATTGGGCAAACACAGGCAGAGACAAAGTGTCTGATCCTATGCCATATAAAAGGCCAAATAATTTCAGAATAAAGATGTGTTGAGCAATATGCTATCCTTTACAGACATGAAGACCAAAGAACAACTGATTAACAAAGGCACTGAAATAAATCCTTCTACTTTTAGCACATTCATGAAATGACAGCATTTTATCCGGTCCGTCTACCAAGAGTGGGAGTGCTCATTTGGGCAGATAGCTCTCCCCGGTAATAAAATGTTTTTATTTGGAATGTAAATGTTTCTTTCCAGAGGTTTCAGAAATCTAGCTCCAAAGATTAATTTGCTCTTGCCTGCTCCCTCTGCAGCTGGCCCATGCAGTCAGAAGCCTCTGCACCTGGCACTGTCACTCGCTGCCACTAGCACAGGCTGTGTGTTTGGTTAAGAGAACTGGCCTGCTCATTCTTTTGAGGGAAAACTGACCCCTGGCTGCTGAACATAAAAGAGTCTTTATCAAACGTGGACTATGTAAAACAAACTTTCTGGCCAGGCTCTTTGCAGGGACCAGTATGTCCCACTACCTTAAACCTGGTAGATATTAATGAGTGAAGACTGGCCCACTGTATGTGTAGAATTCTGAGGTTGCCATGGCATTCCTGTAAAATGTTCACTGCTGCCAAAAAAACAAAACAAAAACCCCCACGCCAGTTCCTCATCTGTAGGTTATTTCTGGTCTAGTGAGGGCTCTCTGTTGCTGTGATAAAATATTGACCAAAATCAACTCAGGGGAGGAAAGGGCTTATTTCATCTTACCAGCTCCCCAGGTCACAATCTAATCCTGCAGGAAAGCAGGGAACGCTCAGGGCAGGAACCTGGAGGCAGGCACTGAAGCAGTGACCACGGAGGAACCCTGTTTGCTGGCTTGCTTTCATGCTGCCAAAACCAGCACCACGTGGGAGACTCTTACACATTGCCAAGTTGGGCTACCAGCTTGAGGTGCAGCCTTGGCCCCCTCTGGACCACAGCTTCTGTGTGCTGACCCTGAGGAAATAATCCCCAGGAGATCTCTCAGTGATGGTGGTCTCTGATGTTAATCACAGTTGATTTCCAGCCCCAGCTAACCAGAATCAATTATTTCATGAAAGTAAAGGTTTCACTTCAAGGGTGCTGGTCTGTTGTTAATCAGAGATGATTCAGTCCCAGCCGACCAGGAACCACAGCTTCTTAATTAAAAGTCTCAACCAAATGGCCCAATATTCTTTGAGAGACTCTATCTTCCCACTGAACTTCCAAAAGCTAGTCTCCATCATCTGCACCTCTCTTTAACATTGCTTTCTTCCGGGCTCCCATAGCAGCTTCATAAGCTCTGAGCATCCAGTGGCCTTGTCAAGTCCAAACTTCCCAGATTCTCCCCAAACAACACTGTCATGTCCATCACCATGATATCACACTCTGGTACCCATTTCTGCCCTAGTTTGGTTTCTATTGCGGTGCTAAACACCACGACCAAAAGCAACTTGGGGAGGAAAGAGCTTATAGGTTATAGTTTATTATCAAGAGAAGTCAAGGCAGGAACTGAAGCAGAAAGCAGTGGAGTGCTGCCTACTGGCTTGTTCTCCAGGGCTTGCTCAGTTTGCCTTCTTATATACAACAAAGACCACCTGCCCAAGGAGAGCACCACACACAGTGGGAGGGGCCCTCCCACATCATTAAAAAAAAGCCCTACAGACCAGAGCGCAGGTCACTCTGATGGAGGCAATTCCTCAGTTGGGATTTTTCCCTCCTAGGGGGATTCCAGCTTGTTTCAAGTTACAAAAACTAGCATAATAATTCATGTTCTTTTATTTTTAAAAATCGCATTATTAGTTATTATGGGTATGTGTGTGTCCCATGGCACATGTGTGGTGGTCAGAGGACCTATGCTGTATCTCGAGACACTTGTGTTTCTCACTCATTTATACTATTAGAGGCAATTGGATCCACTGGGCTTGAATCTAAGTCAGGGAAACCGGTGGCCCATGGGCCATATTTCACTAGTATACTGAGAAGTCAAGAAACTGGGAGCAAGAAGCACTCAGCTGATGATTTTTCTTAAAAGTAGGAAAGTCTACCCACACGGGAATCTAAATTTATACTTAATAATTGTTGCTAAAGGTTGCTCATTCAATTAGATAGGATGTGTTTTGAGTTTACTGAGGCTCCCTTTGTTCTGTTGCCTCACATTACTTTGTTCATTGTTTCTGTGGACACAGGAAACTGTTAGCTGGAACTGTACAAACGTCTTCTGTGAAGGGTGAGGTCATCAGCAGTCTGAACAGTGATGGGCTGGGGAAGATGGGGCTAGTTTGAGCCCTTGCTTTCCTGGAGTGCAATGAAGAGAGGAAGGCACCGCTGCTTGTGGTAAGTAGGGTACTGCTACACATGTGGATGCTCTAGCTGCCCGCTGTCCCAGAGCCAGGGAGCCATCTGTGAAGGCTTAACGCTTGACAAACGAGCCGCCAGGTGAACCCTGCTTTCCTGCTTTTCTATATTGACTAGGAGGACTCAGGGAGCACACTGGGTGTGGCAAGCATGGTGTAGTCCACAGACTCCATGCTTGTGGATCCGAGGGTCTACTTAATAGTACATTGCAACAAATCAGGACCTTGGCCCATTACAATGTGGTATACTAGCTCCAGACAGGTCCAAACAGAGATCACATCTTCATGTGCTTCTCGGGAGAGGGAGTTTTATAGCCATAATGATTCTACTTTATAAATATGAGTAACTTAGTGTATATTCTTTAGCAAACTCTGAATAAATGAAATAAGGTGCAGAGGGACACAGATGTGTATGAAATATACAGTTTCCCCAAATGATCCAAATGCAAACTTGTAATGGTTTCAACTTAAGAGCTTTGCTTGTATTCTAAGGAACAGTAGGAAGCTGTGATGATTTATAGTGGAAAATAACATGGGTGGTCCTTTTGGAATGGCTTTGCTCAGTCTTATGGGGAACTCCTGAAACAGCAGAAGTATGGGAAAGGGCGGGGCTTGCATAGCTCAAGTCAGATTGGCAGTTTGTATCTTGGATTTTTTCATAAGGGATTCTTTCAGTTTGGCCACATAGATGAACATTAAGGCATGGGGACCAGGCTGCTTTTGCACTGCAGGTTCTCTAGCGGCTGAGAGGGGTGCTGCAAGGTCACTAGCAGACCTGGGTGTTGGTCCCCACTTGCTCTGTGTGTAGCAGGCATGAAGGCCACATTGTGCATCTTACCTGGGGCAGTGTCCCTTTCACCAATGAAGGGATGTCATCCTTGGAGTAACCGAGGGCACCAAGACCGTCGTCAACTTTTAGGTCAAACAGGAATTGTCGGAGAGTATCTGCCAACACAGGTCCAGCATCTTGGGTCCTGGCAGTGCGGATGTCGGCTCCTAGAAGAAAAGCGTAGACCATAGGAAGAGAGGGAAACAACTTCTAGTTGTATCTCAGTTACAATACCAGCTGAATATGTGAATTGTACCCAATGCCACCTCCAAACACCGAGGTCCAGTGCACTACTAGGATTACCTGAGATATCTCTGTGGTCAGCGGTCAAGCCCACAGATGACACATTGACAAGACCAGGCTGAGGAGCCAACAGCTCTTTAAGCTGGCTGGGGCACTGAGTTCTCACAGTTTGGGGGACTTCTGACTTCTCCCTGTCCACCACATGTGGTGGGGGAGCAGAGTCAGAGTGACACATCGAAGAAAGGAGTTGCTGAACAGAGGGCAGGAAAGACGGCTGGTGCTAGGATGTGGGGGATGGTACTTTTTTTGGGGGGGCACAGCTTATAGGGCTTTCAAGAGTTGGTATTTACTGACATCTAGAGGTGTGCATGTTCAATGTCTTCTAACAGCAACACAGTTAGAACACAGGCTTTTGCAAACAGTTACAAATGCCACATGCTGACCACCATAAAGGAAGAAAATTCCATGACAAAACTGTTACATGTGGTAGGAAAGGAAAGGTTTTCCGCTTTATATCTTTTTTTTTTTTTTTTTTTTTTTTTTTTTTTTTTTTTTTTT